TATATGTATATATGTATATATGTATACATACATACATACATACATACATACATACATACATACATACATATATATACACACATATATATAGCATTACCTGTATAAGAGTTGAGGGATCTGTCCTGCGTTCACGTCTGTGCCATTATTCGATTTCTTTGAACTTTTAAACTGGAAGACAATCCTGCAAGAGGAAAACAGATTTAGAGGCCGGGGATGCTCCCTCCGTTTCAGAGGTGCCAAGGGGAAGGGGACTTACCCATCATCCGTAGTAATGGAAGCTTGTCCATGGGAGCCGCAGTCACTGCTGGGCCCAGAAACCCGGGCCCAGGCGACATACCACCAGCTGGCTTGCAGGAGGACAGGTTCGTCAAACATCATAGCGTACTTTTCCCTGAGAAAAAGGCAAGCAAAATTATGGATAAGAAATTGGATGGGGAAGAAGAGGTGTTTTATAGAAATATCAGAGAAGATGGTAAGTTAGTGAAGTTGTCTGTACTTGTCTGGAGGTACGGAAGAGTAATTTTTTATGTTTTTTCTTTCTTTAATTATTTTTTTCTGCATTTTTATGGTTTTTTTATATTCTTTTTTGTTTACATTGTTTTCATTATTCTTGTATTCTTGTAATACGAATCCTTGTATTTATAAACTTTAATAAAAAGTATATAAAAAGCTGCTGGAAATAAAAGAAAGGGATATAACATTTGTTTATTTGATCAAAGTTAAAATAATATATGTTCCTATTTTTGATAACTCTTAATGGACTTCTTCTGACACTAGGATTGAAAAGTTGATGCTTTATAGATTTGCTATAGATAAGAGACAAATAATACAGGTAAGAAGATTTTTTTCTATTGTAATTAAAATCCTTAATAAAAATTATATATACAAAAAGGAATCTTTCAATTTACTTGCTTACTAATCCTTACTTGGTTCAGTCAGTTTTCTATTTTTCTTGAGAAGGGTTTTTACGTGAGGAGCAGAATAATCATTGACTGTGTCTCTTCCAGCCAATATTTTTAAGTTTCTCAAAGTGAAAAGGTTACTAGACTTGACTTATTTATCACATTAAATTAATTTTAATGATATGTTCATAAAACATTGATAAGTGTTATATCAAACAATAAGCATAATGAAGCAGTCACCCCAGAACAATGCATATTTTCAGAATATTTGTTAACCGATTGGGTTGGTTCTCCTTGTTTATTGTCATTTATGTCATATATGTTTATTATACGCATAATTTTGTATTTATTTATTTTGCCATGTTTATGTAACTCAAAAGAGCCGAGGTGGCGCAGTGGTTAGGGTGCAGTACTGCAGGCCACTTTAGCTGACTGTGGTCTGCAG